AGGGACGATTGTAACAGCTGAAAATAAATAATCTTATGTTTACAAACCATTACTTAACTCTTTAAGAACCACCAATAGTTTCCTATATCATTTATATTATGTTGCATGTGCATTATTTTATTTGTCACCTTTCACATCATAAATTAAAATTTTTAACCCTTTAAAGTTAAAATTTTAACCCTTTTGGTCTCTGCTCATTATTATTTTTACTCCTAAGATATCACTACTATTTTGATCAATAAAAAAATATATCACAACTATGATAATATGTACTCGTATAATTAACTATGTTTTAGTTGAATTTATGAACTGTTGCTATTGACCCCGTAAGTGGGGACAATTGTAACAAGTGCACGACTGTCAAAAATGGTTAATAACTAATATAATAACATTTAAAATAAGGTATTTTTTTTTCTAGTAGAGGATAGTCTACTTTACTCGTCTGTCAATTAATACTAATAATATATTAGATTTTTTGTTAGTTAAAAATATATAAGTAAAAAATGTTACAATTGACCCCACTCTCCCCTACTAAAAATATTTTTATTCATACTTATAAAAAACCTGTATAAAAAAATTAGGATTACGATAAAAAGACTGAAGCGGAATTTCTGATGAACCCGTCGCAGCTATATAAATCAGAATAAATAATTTTATGAATTAAGACAAATGAAAATTGAGTAAAGATTTTTTTTTTCAAAGTTTACTTACTGTTCCTACTCCACCTTTGCACGTGAGTTTAAATTTGAGCACAGTTTGTGGATCCCTCTGAAAAAAAATAATTCATCCTTTATCAATATGTTATTTAGTGCAAATATAAATAATATTCCATACATTGAAAAGAAAATGCAAGTATAGTTTTGAACACAAAATATACTTGCATAATATATTACAGGAATATTATATACGTATAATACATATATCAATGATAAATCATACATGATAATAAAATGATTGAAATGAAATTAATCCATAAAAACTACTATTTTTATGATATCTATATTTTTTTTCATTGAGGAATTTATCCTCATTGTTTTATTCAAATGCCTGCACCACAAAATAACTAACCACAAATGTGTGTTATCTGTTTCTTTAGAAGAGTTTTTAATGAAATCTTAATTTTTTTTAAGTGTATACTTATATTCATACAAGATATTCTAGTAACAAATTTTTACTAACTCAAGTTTTATACCAAAAAATCAGAGTACGTCATTTTTTTCTACACTTTTCAGCAAATACCCACTTTAAAATCTATATTGTCTCTTTGAGTGATTTAAAGTTAAATCTTATTTTAAAATAAGGCCACTAACATCACGTTACGGCATTACTGAAAAAGAACTTATACGTATAAAAGGCGTTTTTTAAAAGCCATTAAGGTTGTGCTTCAGTTAGTTTGATTACTAGGTACTTCGAAATAATACTCTTTTTCGTTCTGACTTTAACATTACTAGATTATCTTCTTTTCTACACTCAGCATTTAACTACTTATCTTTTCTTTGAGGTTAGTAAAGTGCACTCGCAAAAAAAATCGATTAAACATTAAACCATAATATCGTTTATATAGAAGAATTATACGGTAAAACTTTGTTTAAACCTTAATAAGGTATTAAATTCAACTTTATTCCCTTTCAAGTTGAGCCACACTTTACCCAACCGCGGCCCAGTACCTAGGCCCATTTTATAAAGTTCTATATTTTAACGATCATGGTGGAAATGCCACAAAATTCTGAACCCAGTCAAACGACGCGGATATACTGCCATGATGGCTTAGGGCAGTGAAGTGTGGTACGCGTACCCCCAGGGGTACGGGAGCAGTTTAGCGGGGGTATGCGGTCTTATGCGAAATATCTTGCAACAAACGAAAATTTAAAAACAAAGCTAGCTATGAAAATTTATGATTACGTATTTTTCTATTGGATATTTTTTGCAGAATTAATAGTTAATAATTAGTGGTGTCAACAGCCAGTTGTGATTTTTAACTTCTGTGCAATTTTTTTACAGTAAAAAATACGTTCATTTTTTTATTAGTGGTACACAGCGTTACGAAAAATTTAGAAAGGGTACACATAAGTTTGGGAAACACTGGCTTAGGGGATAGAGCGTTCACCTTCCAATGATGTGAACCGGGTTCGAATCCTAGAGGTGGCTGGTCAATACAAAATCCGAATCCGGCTTGCACCGACCACAATGCAGACGTAAAATATCCTCAGTGGTAGACGGATCATGGGTTAGAGTCCCCTTGCCGTTAGGCTAATCGTGGAATGTTTTCGTGGTTTTCTTCTACATGTAACGCAAATGTGGATTAATTTTATCAAAAAGATCTCCAAGAAGACATATTTCTCCCAATACGTGATCCAGGAGTTCCCTTGTCTTCTGGATTGGGTTCAAAATTACAAGGCCACGAAGTTGAACATTAGTAGTCGTAAACCCGAAGAATTGGGTCTGCTGTTCAACGACGGTTATAAAATAAAATTGAAAACCGACGCGGATAGTGTCAGCCGGTACACTTCACTCTGATCTTAAATACCGTAACCAATGAGAAGAACTTTCAGCCACGAGAGGTTTAACAAGCATGCTGCTGCATATTGTCACAGATTATTTATCCGATTGTCGGGATTGAACTCACGATCGCAGTTCTCCCCACGCTGAGTGGATGACGCCCTTACCGACTGCAATAACTAATTTTCAATTTTGACCATAGTATCGATTGTATTTATCTAAACAGTACACTTTAAAAGTTACAGTTTTACTTTAAAAAAGTTTAAAAATTGCCAATATATTTGTTATCCAAAATAAATCATTTATTAAGTATTAGGGAGAACCATCAAGTCATAAAAGCAGTGAGAAATAAGGCCATTATAATAGTTCATACCATTATGGTTTTTTTTCTTGATATCCTTAAACGACGACATTGAAATGTAATGAATTTAAAACCTAATTTTACTTATAATCAAAGTCACGAAAAAAAACTAATGATACCATCATGAGATGCGTGATTCAATTGATCTAAATCACGGGAGCATTATTAAGTCAGGCCTTTATGCATCAAATGCCAGCAAGTTTCAAGGAAAAAATGAAGGAAGACTAATATGATTTTTTTTCTATGTTACCTACTGAAAAAATTTTTTATAGATAAAGCAGAGTATAAAAAATGTGTTAAAAATGCCGACCTAATGATTAAAAGCTAATTCCGTGTTGTAATTAATGTTTTATTTTGTGTTACTTTTTTATAATCATCTAAGAAAAAAACATTATTATTCAAAATTCTGTCAAATATAAACATTTTAATGACACTTGTACCAGATTTATAAATCAAATATTTTATTGTTCAGCCTGCGTAGGGACCGAGGGTGCGTGTTATTGGTCCTCAAAGTAAAGTGCTCGACTTTGCTTACAGGTCGTCGGGCTACCAAAGCGGAGGAGCCATCCCCTCTGCAGAGGATCAAAATTATGATGACATGTCTTTAGATCATTCTCAGGGATTTTCCCTAGACAGTCACATATGTTGTGCAGCTTTAGTGCAACGTAAATTAAGTACCTACTTACCAATTTTTAACCTTTATAATTAAATAGATTATGCAGTCCTTAAAAATTATTGCTAAAAAAATAAATACTTTTTGAACAGTAAAAAATGACATGTTTTATTTATTTTGGAGAAAAAAAAAATTTTAACCAGACATTTTTTTTAAAATAAATAAACTGTAAAACTAAACTTATAAGCTGTTTATCATCAGTCAAGCTCTTTTTTTTTAATTTTATATCAACCTTTAATGAATAAGCTTCTAAGAATATGTAGTAAACACGAGGGGGAAAAAATCAATAAAATACAAACAAGTTTACTTACTCTATCTACAAGGTCTTCCAGAGATTTGGCTACTTTTATAGAGACGGTTGTGTTATCTAAACCGTCCACCCTAAAATAATTTGTGTCACTCAAACTGTTGTCAACTGGCTCAAGTTTGAACTCATGCCTCGGGTATACTTGAACCCTAAACACTTCACTACCTATAGAAATAAAAATAGTTTTAAAAAAGCACAATAAGTTGGTTTATATGCTTTGTTTTAAGTGCAATTAAAATAAATATCAATTCCGTATTGAAATTATTTTTCAATAAAAGATTATCGGAATAATCTTTCATGTAACGCCAAGATACTAAATATAGCATTGACGCGAATATAAGATTAGCTATTAAAGCTTACCAATTAATTAAAAGCATATATTAACGAATTAAAGACCCAATATTTTTAAAAAAAAAATAAAAATAAAAAAAATTTGCTAAAGCATGGTTCAAATATTGGCATAAAGTATGAAAAAAAAGTACTAAGCAGTAATAAACTGAAATTGCATGAACATTTTATCATATAATAAAATAAATACAATAATATTTATTATTCATAAAATATATATTTATGTAAAATCGAAATAATTGGCATAAATATATGATTAAAGCTTACCGATTAAGTAAAAGCTAATTAGCAAATTAAAGGCCTACTAATTTTTAAAAAATATATAATAATAAATAAAAATTGCTAGAGCATAGTTAAACAAATATTGGCATAAAGTATGAAGGAAAAATACTAGGCAGTAATAAACTGAAATTACATGAAGATTTTAGCATATATTAAAATAAATGCAATAATATTATTCATAAAATATATATTTATATTAAATCGAAATAAATGGTATAAATATATTATTAGCTTAAGAATAAAGAATTTTGATTTTATTTTTTTTTTGTTTTGCTTTCTATCCTTATATTAACGTATATTCTTTTAAAGATATTATCTTATTTAGAACAAAAAATTATCTACAGCTCTCCGTATATTTCTGAATTTAGAAAAAGTTATATTTATAATCAATAAGTATAAAATATAAGAAATTATAAATGCCTTTTTAAATGCATAATTAACTAATAAATTGGAAATTAATCTAGCTTTTAAATATTTCTTTAAAGTCTTCCACATGAAACAATGTAACATGTTAAACAATAAATAATCGAGGTTTTTTTACCTTAGCAAAAGACAGTCTAATTTGGGGATATAAATGAAGTCAATAGTTTTTTTTTATATAACAGTTCTTTTTCTATGCAGTACAGGGAAAAAAACAAATTTCTTCTGAAAACTAATATCAAAAATTGATTCTTCATTGTTTGAAAGTTAATTAAACGCATTCGACATCGTATAATGAAGGAAAATATACAAGGAGAAAAAAAAATTATGTCAAATTAAGCGGAGATATTTTTAACAAAAAGACTTTTGTTAATATTGGCATAAAACAACATTAGATCGTAATATGAAATTTCGTACTACAAAAATATGTTTGTAAAAAAATATTTTCTTGCGGAAGATATAATTGTTTACATATAAAAGCAATGTTAAACCGAAAACATCTAATATTTTCTAATTTATTTAGATTTGTAAAAGTTTCCTGTTTCAAGATATTTGGATATGTTTAATTATGCGTTTGTTGCAAAACCTAAAAATTCACAAATATATTTCTTAAGGAATCTATAAAAATTACATTCGCTTTAACGTTTATTTTAAGCGCAGTTTTATCCATACGTAATGATGAAAACTTATAAATTTACTTACGGTTGCTCTGTTTAAAATTTTGGTACGAATTAAACCATAATATAGTTCAAAATTTCAGCAACCTTTAATACGAGGTTAAGTTAAACCTAATTATTGTACTTGTGAGACTTGATTAACATATTACTATGGTTCAATTAAAGTGGGAATATTTTTAACACCTTAAATATGGTTTCAGAAAATTTAAATCATATTATGGTTTAAGGTAAAAAAATGTGTGTAGTTCAACCATATATGGCAGTACTTTTACTTTCGTTACTTGTACCGCCGGTACAAGTAAAAAATACGTACTTTTACTTGTACTTCGTTACTTTTTAAATTTAGTACTTTTACTTGTACTTTCGTTACTTTTTTTGGGAAAAAGTACAAGTAATTGTAACGGAAATGTCGAATGAAATCGTTACTTTTTTCTAAAACTCGGTAAGCTTTCTAAAAAAAAAATTTAAAAAAATGCTGTCAAAATGCAATTATTTTGCAAAATGAATAAAAATATTAATTAAGAAGTTAGTTTCATTCATTTTCGAGTTTTATGCATTTGTTTAATACATTTTAAATAAAAATTGTTGGATTTTGTTATTACGTTTTTCAATTTTCTTTTTGATCTCACTAATAATACATTTTTGTCTTAATACATTTTTTACTAAATACATTTTTTCCTAAAATTACGTTTATGCCCGACCTTGTCAAACAACGCCCAGTCAAATCTCTAAGAACTTCGGAACTATTTGTGCTACTGAAAACTATTTTACTATTTTAACTCTTGAAAACTCGAAGGTATTAATTTAGCCGCTGATACTAAAATTCGTTTACAAATTTTAATCATTCCGTTTGGCAGAAATGCTCGGAAAATGATTTTCTCGCATGACTTCAGCATTAGCCATTGTTACAAATAAAACTGTAGACTGTTCTGTTTCAACTTATACTGCACATTCAATTATTTTTTACCAGCTCAAAGATCACAAAGCTATCTGAAACCCCATGTTTGCTTTGTTTAGTTTTGTGCTTTTAAAACGCGTTTCTATAGAGTAAAACAATTTTAAATCAATGGTAATTTAAATAAATAAAAATAATAAACTAAAAATTAAAATCAATAGATAAAATTTCTTTTTAGTGCAAATCCATAACAAGTTTGATATTAATATTATATTTGATTTTAAAATTATATTATACGATTATATCATAAAATTATATTATAACATTCCTCCGAATTTTAAAGTAAATTAATGTCCATAACTTTCAAAATTAAAAATAATTAAATAAATAAAACCAATTTTGCAAAAACGTTGAAGAACATAAGAATATTATTCAATAAAATTTTAGGTTACTTTGAATTTTCGATTTCCTAGAAATGTACTTTTAAATCGTTACTTTTTTTGTTTAGTACTTGTACTTTTACTTGTACTTTTTACTCGTTACTTCTTAAAATAAGAACTTTTTACTTTTTACTCGTTACTTTTTTTTAAAAATACTTGTACTTTTACTCGTTATTTTTTAAAAGTAACGTTGCCATATATGAGTTCAACTTTGAACATATTTTGGTAAGTGTGCTGTGTTTTTAACATTACTTGAAGCTTTTTTTCCATATATATTTAAAAAAAATAAACAAACTTTTTGTGGGACATAAGAAGTTGAACGTGCGATAAGAAAATATTTCTAACGAGCTATAAATATATTATATTTATAGCAACTGGGAAATACTCTGAATTTAGTAATAATAATTAAAGAATTGTAACAGTTTGTGTGTCAGTTGTTAGTGGGAATTTAGTAAGAATATTTAATTAATTGTGACATTACAGAAAATATTAATTTTTCTGGACAGAACTTTAAAAACTGATTTAGTTTTAAGTTTAAATTCCTTTTTAATAATTTTCAGTAAAAAAAAAGTTTCATCGTAACAACAGAAATGTGTAAGTTAATTAATTAGTAACATGATAATTAATAGTTAGCGGTAAAAATTTATAAATTATAAGTAAGAGGAAGAAATAAAAATGAATAGTTAATATTAAAAATATTGACTAATTAGAAGACTGAATGTCATTCTATTTATTAAAAATAACTAAATTTATACAAACTAAAACTGAATCAATTTAAAATTTCGATTAGGAGGTTATCAATACAGTTAAAATATGCAGTTAAGAAAATTGCATTTTAATGAATTTTCAAATTCAAAATCTGAATAATACGTAAAAATGACAAAAGCGAAAACTATTAAAATAATTAATTACTATAAACTATTAAAATATTTTTTTATAAAATTTTAGTAGTTATTCTTGTAATCATTAGTTATATATCCAAGCAACTGTTTAAATTAGACACCAAACTAAATCCCCACTATACTGAAAACTTATGCGCAATCAATTCTTTCACTTAGGAAATTTTTTTTTCTATTCTATAGTTCAATAATATCGAAGAAAAATAAATAACTAGATTTCCAACCCCGTTCTGTAAAAGAAATTTAAAAATAACTAATTGTATCAAATGTAATTTGCCTTTAGCATAAATTAACAGCTAGTTGCTTTGCAAAATAGATGAGCCAGAGAAAAAAAAACTTAATCAAATAAACAGCATAGAGAAACTCCAATGCGTTTTTAAATTTCTCTTAATGTAGTTTTCAACCTAATTAGTCAAAACTCCTATTTTGAGAAATTTAGATTTTTAAAGAGTATCTTCTTACCCTCGCCGTAAACTTTCTTCTTATTTAAAGATATATTAATCACTGGAGATCTCTTCTCTAGCTTATCTTCCTTTTCGTAATCCTTTTAATAATTTATAAATGATTAAATTCTAGAAAAAATACATTAAAGTTAGGTTGTTAATTCTTTCACAGAATTCTGTGGAAAAGAGCATTTCCTCAGGGAGCAATTTTCTTTTTTAATAGTTTGAAAAATGGGATGGAAAAATGACTTTTATTAGTCGCGTGTGACACGGACTAAAAGAGAAAAGCCCAAAGAGACTGGTGCCATGGTGCATAAAAATGACAGCAAAAACTCATATTTGAATATCTCTTCGCAAAAATGTTTAAGTAATGATGACAGCAATGGGAACGAGCATGTAAAAACATTCACAATTTATTTTATATGTTTACGTTGATGAAAATCTTTAAAAAAAAGTCAATCTAGTTATAACATAATGCACAGACAAAACTATAATAAAATAGAGCTTTCATATTATAGTCTACAATTATGAAAAATGTTTTCATGGAAATAACTCATTTCATGAAAAACAAAAGAAAAGAAAAAAAGAGGGTTGTTAAAAGAATGTTGTTTTTTGTTCTTAACTAGACACATTTCTTCATTTTCGATCTGAATTTTGAAGTTATTTCGAACATTTTCGATCTGAATTTCGAAGTTATTTCCAGCATTTTCGATCTGAATTTCGAAGTTATTTTGATTGCATTTTCAAAAGGATATTTTAGAATGAAGGATTTTTAGATCAATATTTTTGCTATAAAGTAAGATACATCGCTTTTTCAACTGTCAGTTGTCAAACAGGGTGTGGCCTGTATAAACAAAAAACTAATTAATTTTCAATGATAGTAAGGCGATAAATAAAATTTTATTCGTAGATTAAAAATAAAAATAAATACACTATATCAAAGCTCTATTGTATATTTTAATAAAGAAACAGCGTACAAGCGTAAGATTTTTATTAAAATATATACAAATGTACATTGAAAACATATTTATTTAAAAATATCCATACAAATAATTTCTAAAATACTTCAACAAGATTTTAAAAAATCTCTTCATTATTACTCATTATACAAAAACTAATACAATTATATTTTTTAAAAATTAATTAACATATTAAGTAATTGTTTTACTATTAAAAAGTAAGATTGGAAAAAAAATTATAAATTCGGAAAATTAAGGTAATAGTGAGCTTAAAAAAAGAAATATTTTAAAATTATATTTGTGATGTTAGGCATAAAATTACGAATATATAATCTATAAAGAGACATAAGTGTATTTATAGGAAAGCAAATTCAGAAATTCTAACTAAAAAGAATTACATGTACACTACAAAAAATTTAGAATCAAATTGCGATATTATTAAGTACCGGGACTTTGGGTGTATCGTCAGTAATTTTTACACCGTATTTTTAAAGTAATATTCATTTAATTAGATTGATTCAGTGTTTTACTGTCATAATTACTATCAAAATTACGGTTTAACAGAATTTTTATTCTCTAACATGTTCCTGTAAAAATGTATTTTACGGTAAAAACTATCGGCAACTTGAGTGTTCTACTTTTTACCGTAATTTAATCCGGAATTTTTTATAATGTAGCAAATTAACATAAAGAAATTTATATATAAAAAAAATGGTAATATTGAATCAGTATCTCTTCAAATTCAACCAAAGAAACACAATAGAATATTTCTGCAACCGTGAACCTCGTTATCAATAAAAAACTATGTAACTATAAAACCATGTAATTAAACTTAAACGACAAAGGAAGAAATGTATAAATAACCACTAATTTTACCTATTATTTTAAACGCTTTGTTTCTTCCTTGTGGTAACGCCTATACACCATTACACTATTATTCTTTTCGGAAATCATCCATTGATTATATCAGTTATGTTCAAAACTCATTGTTTTCTTCCAATAAAAAATATCTCTGCTGAGAAGATAGATTGATCTAATAATAGGATATTTGAAACCGCCTTAAAAATCTAGAAGTTGAGTTTTTATGTTTGCTCACAATGTTTCAATTGAGTGGAAAATAATTAAGGTTTGTGTACTAACCTATATTGTTTATGAATTGTTCTACTTAGAATAAATTATTGTTTATTAACGTTTTACTTCTAATAGAATAATGAGCTATTTTTAAATAAAAGAAACAATATATCAATTAACGTTGTACGGCTTGTGTGGCATGAATCAGATAAGTATTATCTTGCTTTTTCCTGGAGTGATAAGCTAATACATTCGTTTTAAAATTATTAAGAACTGTGCTATCTAATTTATTTGAAAGTATTTCATTATTTTTTATATTAATTAAAAACTCCTTTGTAATAATTAAAATTTATCTTACTCATTTAAAGGTATTTCATCATTTTTATACCCTGTTAAAAATTTCTCGGAAAAAAATGGTTAAATAACAATTTATTTAATTGTTATTTCTTTAAAAATGGTAAAATAATTGTTATTTTACCATTTTTAAAGAAAACAGTAAAATTAGCATATATATAAGATGCTATTCGAATTGTTAACTGTGAGAAAAAAGTTTGTTAACTTTTTTCACCTAATACGGTTAAATAACCAGGAGTGTATCACTCTAACTAAGCCATTTAACTCCTTACAGCTGGGTGCATATAAAAGCCAAGAGGACAAATCTGTCCATCTCATGACCAAGAGAATGGGGGTTTGAGTCCCAGCTCTGACACCACAATATTTCCTCGATTCCTCTGGTCTAATAGAATACGATAATCTCATTCATGCATAGATGGCAGCACCATAAAGTTGCTTAAAACAAAAAAGTCTAATATTTCTCATCTCTTACGATTGGTGATACAACCAAATAAACTCCCTAAACCAAATTCGGTTCGTTTGAGAAAATACAACCTAACTCAAAGTATAATTTTACAATTCTGGTTTTTGAACCATATTAGTTGTAAAAGTTACCAAAACCGTAATAGTGAAAAATGTTCTTTACCGTAAATTTACGATTAATTGGATGGATAGACTGCTGTTGGTTACTTTACCGTAATTTTAGAATGAAAGTTCTAACAGTGTATCACTGTTATTCAAGATACACGAAGGACTTGCGGCGATGTAAATAATAAGTCACATTTTGATTTTGTTCTGTATAATTATGCTAGTTTAATTAAATATGCATTTTATTCACTTGTTACAAGCTCTTTCCTTTGAAAAGTAATTCCTCTGTAAAGTATTGATTAACTTAAATAAATGTTAGAACATTTTTGATTTTTTTTTAATAAAAACTTTTTAAAAAGCTACTTAAATTATCACCGTCTATTTTTACTTTCAGAATAATGTGATAAAATCTCTGATCAAATATATCAGTGATAATTTCCAAAATTTAAATTAATTAAGAGATTGAAAACAATTTATAAAGCAGCTATATACTGTTAACATTTTCAACTTCTCTCACTTTTTTATTGCGAGAATGTTTGAGTAATAAAATATAACTCTATTGATCTAAGAGATTACTTTTCTGGAAATCTGAATATTTTAGTAAAAAGTTCCGGATCAAGCTACGGTGAAAAGCAACTGCCGGTACATTTTACCGTAAAGTTCATTTTTATCGAAACTTTTACGGAACTAATATTCTGACATATCCTAAATTTTATAAAACTACTGAATCATTGTAATTAAATAAATATTACAGTCAAAATTGGGCATAAATTTTTACAGTAAAAATGTATTTTACAAGAAAATGGACCGTAATTTTTTGCTGTGTAAACAACTAGCATCCTGCATTTTATACTTGATTAAATATTCATTGGAAAGCATTCTGAATATCTGAAAACTTAGTAAAGTGTAAAAAGTTTTGGATCAAACTGCGGTGAAAAGCACCTGCCGGTACATTTTACCGTAAAATTCACTTTTACCGAAAATTTTACGGAACAAATAATTTAATATATCGTAATTTTTATTATAATGTTTACTGTAAAGTCACTGAATCACTGTAATTAAATAAATATTACAGTAAAAATTGCGGTATAAAATTTTGCAGTAAAAATGAATTTTACAAGAAAATGGACCGGAATTTTTAACTGTGTAAACAACTAGAATCCTACATTTTATACATGATTAAATATTCATTGGAAAGCATTCTTTCAAAGTATTTGAATACATGAATAAAAAAAATTCATTCAAAATGTTTACTCCTATAAGCATTTAACCACTCTTTTCATGGACAAGTTCAAACATTTGCTAAACAGCCGACAAAGTGGGTTTTAATCCGGTCCATTATTTAACCAAGTGCTTGAATGGACTCTTTTAATGCAGAAGAAATCTCAAAAGCACCAAATGTGATAAAACATGTATGAGGATAAAAGCTGAGTAAAAATAGATAAGGATGCAGTGTTGGGGAAGATCTGGAAACGATTGAAGAAGAGAAGATTACACTTACCGACTGCAATATTTTCTTCCACCCTCTCGAACCTCCTGTTCTCCCCCAGAGGATAGAAGAGACATGCTGAAAAAGAAAGAAAAATTTAGTTTTTGCGAAATTTAGTTTTGCTACGATAAATCGTAACTTTCAAACAGTCTTATATGTACATATATTTAATAAGTATGACAAATATTTAAATCGTAATAAATTGAAAGCTATTGTCTTATAACTATTAACAACAATATCGGTCACTTAAACCTTAATATCGTGCAAAATCTACAGCGATCTTAATAAAATTTTATATTTGACATGTTCCCGATAACGTTGAACAACAGTATCGGGCAATCAAGCTTAAGAAATGCGACAAAGTATCTTAGGGTTCAACTCAGTAGTTAGATTGCAGCAAATTTGATTGATGTATAAAAATTAGGCAAGAGTATATATTTAGCTGTATCCGTAGCAGAGAACGTTTTGCTGGCTTAAACGTATACAATAATATGGTTCAACTTGGAACCGTATCATGGTTGCAGCAAATTAGTATGTTATAAATTTCAACACACTCTAAAATTTCGTTCGATGTAGATCCCACAAGACTTGTATGAAGTATTTAAAAAATATTCGTGGACTATCATTATGATAAATGTGTAAATTAATGTTTGTATAATATAAGCGTGAGGAAAAAGTGATAAATAATCATTAAGTGAGTATTTTTTACCGATGCTATTTCCTCTTCTCATAACGTACAACAACAACCAACTCTTAGCACCTTTTATAAACGATTATTTTTTTAGAAAAAACATATGCCTTTGCTGTTTAACTTTAAATGACGACCATTCATTTATATAGAAGTTTAATTTGATAATTAAGGTTGTCATCTTTCCTTCATAAATTTGAATTTGGTTCACTGTTGTTTGCCTAACCCTGAATTCAAAAGTCTAATTACTGAGAGATATAAATAACTATTAATACTGGGAGATATATCTATTATGATTATATATCTATTAATGTTAATAAAAGTGAGAGCAGTAGAAAAAGTCATATAAAGGTAATTTTTAAATGGTTTCAAAGCGTAGTTGCAAAACCGTAGCTACGATTTAAATGTACATAAGAAAGAAAAATTGCGGTGTCTCTCTAAAAAATAAAATTTTTTTATTAATTAATGAATTTTTATAAATATTTAAAAATATAATACTGAGGTTATCTTCCATTGTTTACGTCAATCAGTTTTACCCTATAGTGAAAAATTTTATTTTTCGAAGAATATAAGTTTAAGAAAAGGCATGAATCACGATATAATTACTATTGTATTAAACTCAGTCAGAAGAAGTATCCCCTTTTATAATCTCGAATCATCAAAATACCACGATTGAACTAAATATATCCTCAAATTCAAAAATAAGTTCGTGCTGAAGACATAAATACTTTGAAGAATTTGTATCATTTATCTCAAAAAATCAAGGTTGCCCGCTAATAGTTGAGCATCAAACTGCTATTTTGCAAAATGATCTTCTTTCAACAACCCAGTGACACGAAACTGGACTTGCTGAATATTCTGCTGACCCAGTAATTCCTTATCGACTTCTTGAGAGAACGATGGACACAAGTGGGGGCGATCATTTCATTATCTGGACAGCATCTCGTGTCTCGGATTCATGGTTGAGTGACCAGCAGTGAGCGTTCACGGGACGCTGGGCAATGACCATTGGAGCTTGCTTCATTCTTAGACGCTAGTCTGCAACTAAACAAAGCGCAGAATTTCCAGCGTGGTTCCGTTTTCTAAGTTGATGCCGGTGTTCGGGTGTGGTGTAGCACGTGGGAAGAAAAGCTCTGTTGCACAATTGAATTTTATTAAGGCTGTTGTCACCTGATGAGGACATTCTCAAATTTTAACATTGGTATATAAATGACATTTTTAACTTAAATCTTATATTCGTCACGAACTTGTTCTAACTTTGTTAAATTGTCAATTTTACCATGATTTGATTCAAGCTAAACCATATTACCATGTAATCAAGTGTAAGAAATACAATGATATGGTTTAATTTAGCACCGTATTGAGGTTTCAGCAAAATTGAACGATTTAAGAGTTTAATACACTTCAGAACTTCGAATAGTGAAGAGGACTATAAAAAAACATGAAATTTATTTTAAAAATACATGAAATCTAATCCCGAATAAAAACGTTGGATGTAAATAAATTTTAATATGCATGTATATAAAGCGTTATGTATCCTATTTTAATTCTAATCCAAATATAATCTAGAAAAAATTAAGAAAAAAACACCGATAACACGAAAATAAATTTTGCGAAAATTTATTACAGTTAGGCAAATTTCGAGCAAATTGCTTACAGTTGAAAGTGGATGATCCATATTTTAAAAATAATTCCATATTTCAAAGAAGTAATTCATACATTTTAAGCCTATCTTCCAGTTAAAGTCTATGTTTTTTCATCCTAACTAGATAAGCGTTATATTAAATATTTTAACTAGTAAATTTGAATTTTTCATTTACCTTGATAAAAAAAATTGTGATTAGTTGGAAATATCATTTTCAAAACCAGTACATTCTCATTTGTTTTTTTATATAATTATTATTTCGCAGTTTATTGATAGCTAATGAATTTAGAGAATAATCAGCCAAAAATAAATCAGTAAATTTAAATATGCTTTTATTCAATTACGAAGATTTTTTAACATGCAAAAAAAATTATTTATAATTATTTTTTTACAGTTTATTTCTTCGAAAATTATTAATAATTACTTATTTTCTTTTTAGCAAAATTTGATTAGATTAATTTTATTAATTATAAATTCTAAAAAATAATGTAACAGAGTATTTTTTTTAATTTTAGTATAACTTTAAAATATTTTATTTATTCAAATTTTACTATTTAAAAAAACTACAAAACTTAATATCTTTTGATATGTTTCAGACTTCTTACATTTTTCAGAAATATTTTTCAAAGAATTACTTAATATTTACTTAATTGCATCAGACTAAAGCACTTAAAAAAGTGTGAATCATTTAGTGGATGAAAAGATAAGCGAGTAATTCAGTGCCTTAAGTTATCGAGACAACTATATAATAGTGCTTTGTTCGAATTTATGACATAAACCACTCGAATTAGTTAAGTGATCCGTAACACTGGTACAAATCCTCTACAATGAATTCCTTTAGTTTCATGATTGGCGAGTATCTAGAAATATGACAAAAGGCGCCAGGGTTCGCAGTCTCCACAATATCTGATAGAGAAATCTCTTTATTTTTTATTGCCCAAAAGAGTTATGATTGATTAGGAAGACTCAAAAGTATTTTGCATTCACGATAGGAAAATTCTTTACGTGGAAAAAAAAAGTTTCGCGAAAGAATGAAATTTTATGCAAATAAAAATGAAAAAAAACTATTTGCAAAAAGTCTGAAATAATTTTAGTATCTAAAAAGAAATATACAGTTTGCATTTTATTCTAATGAAATTTTAAGCAAATTAAGCAATTATTCGTATTTGATTTGTTTAGATAAGAACATGTTTTACAGAATGTTAGTTATCTTAAAAATTAAATAAAAATTTATTTTTGTTAATGCTAGGTAATCTTATTTAGACTAGGTAAATTCAACATTGTATATCACGTATAATAATAATAATAATGTATTTATNATATATATATATATATATATATATATATATAGATAGATAGATAGATAGATAGATAAGTGGCACAATGAATACAATTTAAAATTTCGAATATCCGTATCAAAGTTTCTAACACTTTAAATTCTGAAAAAACGAGATCAATAACACTATAATGCACTTTAAAAAAATAACTGTCATTCGTTCTTAAATAGAAGCACAATATAAATCCTGTTCTAAGAAATTTATGCAGAAATTCTAGAGTCTGCATCCTTCTTACATGCAGGGTGCTACTTCATGGGTATTCCTAAACAGCTACAACTGTGACTTTCGAGATAATTTATTTTCTTTTAATTCCTTCTAGAATCCCTGAAGAGTTCTGTCTAGGCGTATCAATGAACTAATTATTAATGAATATTTTACATGGCGCTGTGAAATATCGCAACACAAAAATACTAATGTAAAAGAATCTGGGGTATCAATTAGCCTCATATCGATTTGTAAAGAAACTTTAAATACACATACACACTGATCCCAATGCATTTCATTAAGTTCGAATAAAAAGATAATAAATTTGATTCAAAAACCTTAAAAGGTTTTGATTCACACCATGGAATAATGATGCGAGTTAGAGTAGGTAAAATTATTCATTAGAAATCGTTTTTTTTTTTTTTTTTTTTTTTTTTTTTTTTTTTTTTTTTTTTTTTTNTTTTTTTTTTTTTTTTTTTTTTTTAAATTTGGAATTATAAAGTTTTATGTAATACGTCAGTCAAAAAGCTCTTTGACCAATCCGCAAATATCACCTCTAAACGCAAGCACATACATGTATAGTACAGACTTTCAAAAGATATCTATCAAAATTAATATCTATTGAATTCTTATAATATTTTGACATTAGTTAGAGTTATTGATATTGTACGCTGTGAAAAAATTAGGTCGAACTATCAGAATGCAGTAAAATTTACAGTATTTCTGTCTTATGGTTACTATGGTTGGGTAAAAATTAAAGGGTCGGTAATTTTTACCCATGAGACTCTTTAATGATTTTGGTAATGCTAAAATATGATTTTATATAACAAAATATAGTTTATAATTTCTGATAAAATTTGGTAAATGGGGTCTGTTGATGCATGACACAACACAGTGCATTAGTAAAGATATATTTTAAATTTCCTAAACATTTGCCATATAAAACTTTAAAAAAAAAGAAAATAAAAACATAATTAATAGTATAAATCCTACTTATCTATTTGTAATTAAATTTATATGAATCATAAATCTTTATGACCCTAGAACACTTTTTTTGCCCTTATTCAATGCCATTGAAAGTCTAAAAAATTAAATTGGAATCAGAATTAATATCTGCCTAAAGTTTTAATTACCATCTTTTTAAGAAATCTTTCGCACATTTTTTTAAATCATAAAATCATTAAAAAGATATATTTTAAATTTC